ATATGTGGGAAAAGTAAGTATACCCTTGGCTTCAGCAGCTGGTATCACCCTCCTTAGCAGAATTTATTTCTTGTATGTAGTCTCTGATTTGCTAATATTTTTGACTCCTCCATTTAAAATGTCTTCACCTGCAAAAGGTTTGCGTTTTCTTGTATGAACTGCTTGTATCAATTTCCCTTAACCACATTTTAACGAGTTTCAAATCAAGGCTGAGACTAGATAAATCTATGACTATAACCATTTAATTTATTCTTGGTGAGCAATTATTTGTTGAATTTGCTAGTATACCTTGGATCATTATTGTGTTGAAAGATCAAATTCTGGTTCAACTTTCAGACAGGGCCTCACAGTCACATACTGATGATGCAGAAGTCAGAGCTGCCTTGATGACTGCAGGCTACCCAGCTCCTAAAGCAGCAAAGCAACATTTCTACCACCATGCTTCTCAGTTGGTATAGAAGTTCCTGAAATGCAACCTTCAGTTTGCGCCAAACACATACAGTTATCATAACCAAAATACTTTTTGTTCATCAGTCTACAGCACTTTCTTCCATAAGTCCTGGACTTTGCCTATATATGTTCAATGGCAAACTGCAGTCTTCCTTTAATGATGCAACTATCAACTACAGCATTTTTACCCTTAAAAATGTAAGTCTTTCCTTTCGAGATACAGCAAAGAAAACCAAAAAGTGTCAGCAAAGTTTCCTATACCATCAAGAGGCACATGGAAACTGGAGAAAAGTGACAGGATCAGTTATGACAAAACCCAAAGCCACAACAGAATCAGAAGGCAAGATTTTGAAAGTCAACTGTGTGATGGCACTTCAAATGGACAGCCATTTAAAGCATAGCTTAACAGTGGTCAAAGCAACTGTGAAGACTTTGCAGTTGCAGGTATCACAGGTCGACTGGCAATAAAAAAAAAAAGCAATTGCTAAAATGGCAGAAAGGCTAGTGGACGAAAGAGTGAACGGTATTACGTAGATTAAATAAACATTGAACTGTTTGCTCCATGCAGGATTTTAGGTCACCAGGTGGGTGGGTTCCTCAGTATGCAACACCATCATAATCAAAGCCCAAGTGAGTATTCTAGGATCATATTTCCTCTTAATGTCCATAAATATTTTTATCATACCTGTACTGGGCTGTCATAATCCTGCCAGGACAGAGCAAATTCAGAATAGCCATGACATTAACACAAGGTGTCAAAGAAGACCAAATCTGATTAGAATCTTTTCAAAATGGGGTCAATAGCCAGAGCTTGGGATAACAGTATATGCAGCTGCATTAAACAGTCTAAGGTGTAATTTTCCCACCTGGGTCCTGAGACAAGTGTATTTCAATCCTAGACCTACCTGAAAAGAGAAAAAAAAAAACACAATCCGTAACTCCCATGCTGTGTCGTTCACAATTATAAATGTTACTGCAAAAGCATTGTTGTATGGGATAAAAATTCTAGCCATGGCAGACAAATTGTTGATTATAGAAGTTATTTATTTGGGTCTCTTGCATTGGTATTGGCTCAGCTGAGCAAACTGTCAGGGAAAAATTGGAAGCTATGACCTGTTCGCTCTGCCTCAGCCCCAAGGTCAGGAAAAGAAAAAAAAAAGAAAAAAAATCAGAATTTGAGATCCCTTTTTATTTTTAACAACTGCTTATGCATGTCCAACTTTATAACGTTATGTATGCGTTGCTGACCCTTACAAATATTACATAAACATTTTTTTTTAGATTTCTCTAAAGAATGCGTTAATCTTAGGAGCCTTTGCACCAGTCTACTGGACAGCAGTTTTTACTGACTTGCTGCCAGAAGCAAGCTTTTTTTTTTTTTTACAAGACTGCAATTTGTGTAAGTGGTGGCAGTTTGCGTGTACATGTTTTCGGCATCTGGGATACTCATGATTTTCCAACATGCTAGTCAATTTCTGAGGTTACACAACACAAATTATACCTTGCACATTAGGACTCTTGTTCCTCTAACCTCTATTGATCCTGTACATGACAGAAACCAACTATCAAACATGGGTCAGGAAATGTGATCTTCTGTGGCTCTTTTGCTGGATCCAGAGTAGGCAACTTGTCTAGAGGGACTGGCATACTGAACCCAGAAGTCCAACCACACCTTATGGTCTATACCTAGTTTGTGAGGAATTTGTCCAAGAAAATAGCCTGGAAGTACATTTAGGCCATCTCAGAAGAAAATTAGCAAGGGGGGAAGCTTTAAGTCATGAAAAAGCAAGCACAGTCCCCAGACAAACCACATTAAGCTGGTTTGGGATAAACTGCTCAGAAGAGTTGCAGCATACAAACCTACAAGTGCAAATGCAGTTGTGGTAAAATATTGGGAAGACCTTCCCAAACACCATGTGATTTCCATTGGAGAAAGAATGCCATGAGTATGTTTAGCATTACATCTGTTTAAAAGGTGGTTTCTTTTAAAGTCGTGATTTCAGATAAAATGTTGTTAAAGACCGTTCCATGATTTAATTTGTAGTATCACCGATCATTTATTTGTTCCACACATTGACATTCGGGATTAACTGCAGTGGGGGAAATGCATAACCTAGACTGAAGCTCCAGGGGTGCACCAAAGCGTCCACCCCTAGGGCTCCGTCGTCCCTGGTGAGCGAAAAAAATTGTTCCACCTGCCTGTTGTCGGCTGTTGCGAAGAGGTCTACCTCGGGACAGCCCCACAAGCTGGTGATCCATGCAAATAAACTTGTGAAGCTGGGTGGGGCCAACAAGGCCCCTTACAGCTCAATTTTCAAATTTAAAGCAATATACAGCTTAGACATACACCCTGAAGATATCTATAGCCTCAATCTATTTCCACATGTAAAAAGTGGAAAACTACATGGCACTTTACAGGATACATATGTCCTTTCAGTGTCTGCCCACACCAACACAGAGCTAAAAGGAGGTGGAAGCCAATAGGATAGTAGCAAGAAACCCACACATGCAGTGACAACGTGTCCCTTGTAAGAGTTCAACTCATTCCAACATGTTTTATTAAAACACAGTAAATGCCTTAACTTCCCCATATATTTATGTAGCTGTGATGCCAGATACCGCAGGCTAACACTTGAGGCATACCAAAAATATACGAAGCCGTGAAATAGCAAATATTTAAACACTACTAACATATGACGCAGCTCTTATTTTGGAATACTTTCATCCACAACATTTACAATAGCATAGTAACCAATGAATAACTTAGATGAATTTCTAAATATGAGAAGACCCATAATAAATGTTGGTTTATAATCTAAAACAAGACAAAAACAGTTACCTGACACTACACACGCCACCGAAGAAGCCTATACAAACAACACAACTGCCCAACAAAGAAGAAAAAAAAAAAACCACCAAAAATAGATGGGTATCCAAAACACCATTGCTTACAAACATAGGCTCACTTATCTTACATATATGTGAAACGTTGCTTTGAGTGCATATAAAAACACCATTCTGGATAAGGATAATCATGCACAACCCCAATAAATAAAAAAAAAAGGCATCAGCTATTTACTAGAGTACAGTACTCATTGTTACTACAATACAAATTCGAGTGTTCAGACTCCCAACTACCGAGCAGTACAGCATGGAGTAAAGGGGAAGACTTCACCTCACAACTGTCATCCCGCCATAACTGCCTACAGGCATGAATATAAAGCGCGTCACATACTCGCGGCCGCAGCTAGACCAGCCTGAGGTAACTAAAAAAAAAAACGGCGCCAAACCCCACAGCAGCCATGTTTCTCCCATAGTTTAGGTATTCAAAATAGAGGCTGTGCGAGGAATGGCGTATTAAAAAATAAAAACGAACAAGTTTCGGATCCTAGTCGCTATTGCTGCCTACACTAAAGTTTACAATCTTTCCTGCACAGCCACGGGTCTTAAACACGCCGCCCGCTCTCTCCACCAACACAAATAAGCTAAAGTATGAAGAGAGAAAGGCGAACGACACTCGGCTCCAAGTAGGACGAGTTTGCTCAGTCACGGTTCTCCATTTTGAGCTTGACGACCTTCACCACAGACAGCACCGTCTCTTGTTCGGCTTCTCCCCGCCCTGCAGCTAGCCCCTCCATACCACCCTCCCCCTCTTCCACACGATACACCGCCGGTACACGTGACGTCACGTATGTTGTCTGCGTGAGCTTGAAGGGGGGAGGAAGGGGTCGCCGAGCCGCGTTGCCATTAGTGGCTCAGACCGAGAATTAGAGTTTCTTGTGGATATGGAGAAGGCCGGGCACATGCGAAGGATTTCATCTTCAGTCTAGCCATTCCTGTCTGTCAAACATTTCCGCGTCACTCCTTAATAGAGGCGTGTTCAGGAGCCGGCGGGCGGTGACCGGAGAGCTTGGCGCACTGCGGAAGGGGTGGAGAACTCCACCGGAAACTAGTCCAGAGAGCCAGGGACTGCGAGAGAAAGATTTGGAGATGCAGGAGATTTAGGTGGACGGCATTCCTATGGACTAGGGAGCTCGCACCTGTTAGGAGAAGTGGGAACCGAATAGATAGTGCTTGTACGAAATAACGTTGTCTCCTCAGAGGGGGCTCCACTGCGTGCTTTCCGTTTACCTCAAACCGTAGGAGTGGCTTGTTGAGTGAGGTGTTTGAGGCATGGCCAACCAACCTACCGACATGGAGCTTGGAGTCAACTGAGTGGAGTTTTTCCATTCACGAGACTGGAAGATTCCCATTATAATGCAAGTGTAGAGGGTAGGTGGAGCAGATTCCTCATTACATACTTGAGGATGCATAGGTTTTTCGTGTTTGGTATTATATTTGAAACTACCATGTAATAGCAAACACATTTATTGATCTTTGTTGTGTTTTTGTACTTGCAGATGCTGGTGGCCCTTGTTGGAACTTCAAATTGATCATTGTAAAGACCCAAAGACCGGTGGTTTCATTCTGGTGGGCACTAAGCTTCTGAACGTGAGGCATGTTGCACGAGCAACATAGGTGCTACCAAGATAAACATTGAACGATACAGTTTTTTCTACTATAGGTTCCGTTTTATGTTTAGCCTCTTTAGGCATTAAACAGTGAAACCATGGCGTTCACAAATTATAGCAGTTTGAACCGGGCACAGTTGACCTTCGAATATCTGCACACTAATTCGTGAGTATTCTGCTTGTCGACATATTTTTTTGTGGTTTGATCTTGTGTATGTGTCTTCAGACTATTTGAGCATTGTGTAAAGAGTGTTTTCTTAACACCGCAAACAAATCAATTGATATTGGAGTCAAATATAAAGAAATATTCTGAAGGGTATCCAAGAAACCTTGGAAATATTGGTATTGTTCCAGTAGATCACTTTTTTTTTTTAATGGTTCTCCTGTTTATGAAGATTTTAGTCAACTCGATGGCTTTTTATTAGTCTATTTCTGAAAATTAAGGCAAACAATCATCTTAAGTTTTCTGATTATTATTTTTTACTTGTAATTCTATATTACCCACTCAAGATGAATGGTGATTACCGATGGGTTCATACAACAAAAGGAAACATTTTATTCTGTTTATTTTTTCATATTGCACTTCGGAGGATGTGGTTCCATCAGTGTATACTCAAATTACTGGATAGTGCAATCTAATAGTGGTCCTAGACTTGAGATGGACATCATCAGACACAGGAGTTATACTCTAAATTTTCTACATGTTTATAGTCTATGAACCGTTGTAACAGTTGACATTGACCTACGCATCTCGTTATCAATTACATTGATTGGACTTGTTTGAAAATTTATGGTGGTTGGGATATTTAAGATGAACTAGATGTCTTTCAGAAATTATGCAAAGCAGAACATTGTGCATGCTAAGGGGGTGATGTTTGGGTCACTTTTATGAAGAAGTCTGAATCTTTGCACAGCTAATACTTGGATAATCCATTTTTACAATTTTTTTTTATTTCTGTGGCTGTGACACTCCCTCTTTGCTGTCTATAGCTTCCCTATCAGACATGGCCTGATTAAATTCGCTTGTTATCTGTTGAAAAAACACACAGACCTCTGTAATAGTTCTACCTTTTTTTTGTTAAATTATGTTTGCACTGCTTTATACACTGTTGTAGTTCTTGCTAGCTTCTTTATATAGTTTTGTGGGCGGCAGTATAGGCGCATGTGTCAACAGATTTTTTTTTTTTTAGTTTCAGAGTAGCTTATTTCCCCCTCCATGTTAATGGGAATGCAAATGCTTGTTCATGCAGCTTAGGAGGTCACATGCATGTTGGAAGGAACAGAAAAGTCTTAAACTGATGTAAAATGTTCGATGAGGCAAGCTGCATTTGCTCATCGTTAATCCCTTTAAAAAAAAAAAAATTGCCTTGATTGAAGTAATGCTCAACGGAATGTAGTTTTATGTATTTTATAAAGTATAGTTGTAAGACACAGCTCTTATCCATTAAACATGTGGGTTTATGTCGGCACAACAGGAGAATGCTAAGCGTATCAAAAAAGGCAACCTCAACCTATTCAATTCCAACGCAACATTACCATTGAGTTGCCCTTCAGTTTGGCCTGTCCGCTGCACCTTGGGTATTCCCCAAGGTGTTAGCACCTGTCCTAGCTCTGCACACCTCCAAGGGCATCCCCATCATGAGGTATCTGGATGACTTCCTGCTGAAGGAACAATCAGTCCAAACTCTGCGGGACAATATCTAATGGACAATGCAGACCCTGCAGAGTTTTGGTTGCATTTTAAATGTTGACAAAAATGTAAAGGACACATTTGCCAGATGCATAGGATCCCTTAAAATTAAGAAGATCATAAGCCCTGGATGGAAAGGTTGGCATTGAGTGAAAGGACACTTCTCAGTACATAGGACAAAAAGGGAGAAGTGGTGGGAAAACCTCCTTTTAACACACCTTATGAGCCCAATGATAAAACAAGGAAAGAAGGATGTGTACATCGTGTAAACCATATCTTTTTTAAATTTAAAACCACATCAAAAAATATTTAACTCTCATCTGTGTGTGCTATGGCCTGCAAGAAATGTAGGCTTGTGAAGCTAGAGATATACCGCCAGTTGTTTTCAACTTGTGTATGTGGCCCCGCCACTCAGGAACGTGATGGCGTCACACTTGCTTTGTCCCATCCAATGTGTTTAGGCCGTCCAGATGTTCTCGGAAGTGATGAAAATGCTCCCATGTGCGGGACCTATGACCCAGGAACTACCAAACCATTCTCGTTTGCATGAAGGTTCTGGTGTTAATGGTGGCTTCCTTTTGAAGCAGTAACGTATGCCCAGTTTCACTCCAAGCCATTACACTTCAACATGGATCAAACAGACCCAGGCTTTGGGTCTTGCCTTACACCTGGCCAGAAAAAAACATGCTTGCTAGTATGGCAGATCTCTGATCTGAGCTCTGGAATCAGGAAAATCCTTATTCCAGATTGACTAGAAGGTATTATAAAGGTGCAAACTAGGGAGGAGTCCTAAATACCTACTGGTACAGGGGACTTGGTAAACCGAGGAACCTTGGCTTCCAATATATATTCTGAAACTCACAGCAGTTCAGCTGTCCCCACTATGCTGGACCTCCCATGGTCCTTCTGCATGTTCACCTATGACGTGGGCAGAAGTACACATTCCTGCCCCGACCACCGTGCATGTTTCAGGCATGAAAAACATAACAGGCTGGCTTCCTCAGTCATCAACGTCTGGATCCCAGAAAATGGTCTCTTTACACATAGGTGTTTCAGGTTCAACAACAAACTGGAAAGATGTGTCCCAAGGACCAGGGATCCTCATGCCTTTGCACTGCTCTGGTGAGTGTGGTATCAGTTTAACCTGATCAATGCCTTTCCCTCCTCTGAGAATCCGTTCTTGTCTTCTTCGCTGGATCGAGAGTGAGGGTATTCGTGTGATCCTTATCGCACCGCACTGTCCTAGGATGACATGGTAATCGGACATAATCAGGATCCTGGCAGATTCTTTGTGGGCCCTTTAGGTTCAGCCAGATTTTTTTTTTTTGTCCCAGGGACTTGTCCATCTTCCTGCTTCTCAGTCACTGGCATTAATGACTTGACTTATCTCTAATGACTTGACTTATCTCTAGCTCCTAAAGGCTAGGAAATCGACATGCAGAGTCTACTACTGCACCTGGAGGGCCTATTTTACATGGTTTGAGGCAAGTAGTTTCTATCCCAGAAAGTGCTTCCATGTGATGAATCCTGCCTTTCCTCCAGTGTAGTCTGGATCAGCATTTGGACTTGAGTACCATCAAGGGTCAGATCTCAGCCTATGCTTTCTGAAGACCACTTGCCTCTCGTTTCTTAGTGAAAGTCTTTGTGCAGGGTATTGCTCACATTGCCCCCCTTTTTACTACCCAGTATTGCCATGTGATCTCAACCTTGCTCTGTCGGTCCTTCAGATGCTGACCTTTGAATCTTTCAGACATTCCCCTATCTCCCTCACTCACAAGGTTACCTTCCTCATTGCTGTAACCTCTGCAAAGCAATCCTCAGTTAGTGGCCTAATCCTGTAAAGATTGCTTCCTTTTGTTACATAGGGATCAAGTGTTTGTGTTTTTTTTTAATCCTAAAGCCCTCATTCTTCTTACTGTGGTCTCCCCCTTCTATTTAAACCAGGGTATTGTAATTTCTTCTCTGTCCTACTGTAAAACATTCCATAGAAATTTCTCTACACAGTCTGGAGTTGGTACTCTCTGTGCAAGTCTACCTTTTTTGCTACAGCATCTTTTAGGCGATCAGGTTCTTTCTTTGACTTTCCTGTAGGTCCCCGTAGGGGGGCACCTAGACCCACATCCATTAGATTAGATCATTTGACCATCTGTTTCCAGGGTTTGCAAGGCTGCCACCTCCTCTCCTGTTCATGTTTGTTTCACAACGGCCTAAATAAAGGTCTGCTACAACAGCGCTGTTTGAAATACAATAGTGGCATGCCTTGGATTTGGATTTGAACTAGGAACTCGCAAATGACTGGTAGTCCTTAACTGTGTGTCTCAGTATGCTTTTCCTCCAGGGTAATTGGCCCTTGTGTTACTTGTGTCAGGGAGGTGATGAGGTGCCTACAGGCCGCTGTCGTGGCCACCATTCTTTTTGTGGCCATTTGTCCTTTGCCCTACTTTTGCTCTTTAGTTTTTTTCATGGTTGCAGATTGCCCTTAGTGGCATTTTGCATTGACTGTGTCACACTTACTTGCAAGCCTGCGTCACAGCAAGTGGACAGAGCTTGTTCCAGACTTTTGTTTCTGTTAGTAAAGTTTGTGTGTAGCTTACAGATGCTGTACTTTGGCTGGCCACCACCTCTCAATCACTCTTCTATGGACACAACATGATCAAGGGGCCACTGCAGTGAGTACGATCATAGTACGACCCCTTTGGTTGGTGAAATTTGGTTGCACCTGCGCTAAGTACCTCACCTTGGCTTGATATCAGGTTTGCACCTAAGTGCTTCCCAATGTGGTACCTTTTAGGCTTCTACATATCTCGGTCACTTAGTATCCTCGGCAATTGCCAGATACCACAGAGAGGACCAGAGGTTCTACAACAATCTATTAATCCAGATATCTTTATTAGCATGTTCCACATGTCACTTAGTTTGGTGATGTAGTTGGGGGTTCATTTGCACCTCCTGTGGTTGAGCTGCCTCTGTTTGCTCCCTTTTATGAACTTCTGACAGCATAATCAGGTGCCTCCTCATTCTCTCTGACACTTATATCTTAAAGGGTAAGGAAACTTTAACATTTTCTTATCCTTTTGCCCTGCCCCTTAGCAGAACTAGGCTAACCTTTCCCCGCAAAGCTCCACCAGAGTCAAAGTTCCTGATATCCTAGTACAGATGACCTGTCTTTCTGACAAGAGCTCTGTCCATTCCTTGAGTAGGAAGGTAGATACCGCTACCTATCTCATAAGAAAGTGTTAGTGGATAAATGTTGCAGCCCATTTTGGCCTCTGTTCTGATGTTACATGGAAGTGAAATAATTACTACGACAGGATTCAGTCAGGCAACAGTTTCCTCTTCATATGCTGGACCTTATGTATCAAATGACATGTGGTTACTGGACTCTTGATTACTGGTGTCACTGATTTCTGTCTCCTGTGGATTCGCAAAATTATCTGGTTGAAAATGTTTGTGAGCTGATCAGGTATCTAAAGCTGGTGGGGCTGAATGAGAAAAATCCCTTGATTTTCACCCCATCCAGGCTAAAGAGCCAGTGTTTGCTGGCAGGGCCTCCCACGAATTGAGTTTCAACCGATTCAGCAGAAAATGGTAAAAATTTGATCTCTATGTGACCAGCATACAATATCTCTGTCAGATCTGCTGTTAAGCATATTGCTGGACAAGATCATACAAAAATCTCAGTGGAGGTAAGGGCACCTTCCTTTTGTTCCCTTTAAAAACTCCTTTTAAAAGTAAACTTTATAACTACTACCACAGAGGGTCAAGCATTCATATCAGGCTAAATTAGCCAAATCCAGAGAGAAGCCTTTCTTTCTGCAGTAACGCTTGTTCCTGCTTCGCAAGAGTTGGGGGAATGCCTTCGGTTGTGTGCAAAAGTTTGGACCGATCACATGGCAGATGCTTGGGTGTCCGAGGTTCTACTCTCGTTACAAGATTGAGTTTGAGACTCCTCACGCAGATTGTTTTTTTTTTCTTGAACCTTTGCCTAACCACGAAGAAACTGATGGATTTGCGGTTGGTCACTGAGGAACTTTTATCTCAGGGTGTGATTATACCAGTACCTCCTGTAGAGTGATTCAGAGGATTTAATCAAACCGCTTTAAGGTTCTGAAGAAGTAGGAAGTGTTGCTTATTCTGAACTAAAGATTTCTTAATTCATATAGAAGGGTGTGGATGCTCTGTGATATCCCTTTTTTAATATGGGATTTTTTTGGCAAGTACGCATGCCTTCACCTGACAATTTTCTTCATCAATGTTTCCTCAATGTCGCAGGGTGGGGGGGACGACAACTCCTATTTGGGCTGCCTTCCACCCCATGGCTATATAGGAAGGTTTTGACTCCTCTGATGGTGGAATAACTCGATGTAATCTGAAGTGTTTTTATGTTGTGCCACGAAAATCCATGGGGTACATCTCCATAAATTGGTGGTTGTATTAGCTCAGTTACCAAAGCATGGATCCCAGGGGATGGTACCTTTTTACCAGAATGTGTTCATGCTGATCTGTCTCCACTAGGGGATGCCAGATATAGACACACTGGTGTCTTGCTTCAGGCAGAAACTGGACAGATTTGGAGTGAGATCTCTCTAAATCTAACTTTGGCTGCATCAAAGGATCAAGCTGGAGGGCATTCCTGTAGTCAGATGTGGACATATTTGTTGGTACCTTTTCACAGCTCATAGAAAACAATGCATCATTCCTCTTGAAAACTGATGAATTTAAAAGTAATTGTCTCATGTATATAAGCATGCCTTTTTGGTATGTCCGAGTAAAGCAAAGACAATGGATACATTGATGCTTTATTTATAAAGATATTGTAAAATGGCAAAACAGATTTGTTGGTCCCCTTAGAAAAGATTATAAATAATTGAATCACAGTATTATGTCAAACTAACTTTTTTTTCGGTGTCACATGTCTTCAATCTTGTAATCAGTCGGGCTATTTAAATTGAGAAAAGTAAGCAATCTGCTATTTGTTATCTTGTGCACCATGCTGAACAAGGACCAGAGAAAGTAAATGAGATAGTTGTTGAGATCAGAAAAAAGGAGATCTCCACTGTTAAGAGAAAATCATAAAAAGCCAGACAGGCTTTGCTTAAATGTATACTGACAACCCACAATGCTTCTGGGAGAAGGTAATTTGGACATATGAGACAAAACGCAAGCTTTTTGGCAAGTCTCATCAGCTCTTTGTTTACAGACAAAAAATTAAGCACATTGGAATCTTAAGACTATGAAAGAATTCTGGAGCAAAACATACTACCGAGTATCCAAAAGCTCTGTTTCAGTCATGGGTCTTTTAATCCTCCAACAGGATAGTGACCCAAAACATGCAGCTTAGCACCTAAGAATGGCTAGGATAATAGATGTGGCCTTCTACTTCTATGTGCCCTGATCTGAATCCTATAGAACATTTGTGGAAAGAGCTGGAGACGGCACCCTTCAAACCTGAGACGGCTAGAGCAGTTTGCTCAAGAACAGTGGGCCAGTCTACTTGTAGGCAGGCGCATAAATCTTATTGAGACCTACAAAAATTACTTGCTTGCATTAAATGTATCTTAGATCTATACTTATGGGCACAAGAAACTGTCTTTATCAATTACTGATCATTTTACTAGATCAGTTAGTACTTTTTGGGTTTTCCATCTCTCTCCTTCCAAATCTGTGAGACTGAAAACCTAAGAAGTACTGACTCCTGTAGTGACCTTGGCTATCGACCCATACCTTATTTGGTTTGCTTTTGTTGCAAGGTTTTGCACTGACAGTATGAAGGCTTACTATGATTTTTGTTTAGGTTTTTGTTGATATGGACTCACCCATTAGTAGGTATTGGTTGTTGATGTCCCGCGCATCTAATGGTTAAGAGCTGTGTCACTCAATACTCATACAGAAAATAGAAATTTTGTTTTGTAATTACTATTAAAACTATTTTTCTTCATTGAGGGACACCGCTCAATGAAAAAAAATTAGGCCTCATTCACATGAACATGCATAGCTGTACAGCGTGCATATCCAGAAACGGATGCATGCTATTGAACGCAGCACATATCCCTCCTGGGGGCAGGCTTCTGCACAGATTTGCACGCTTTATTGCCATGTGAATGAGACCGTATTTGTTCAGTATTAGGCAGATGCAGTTTTTGTTATGGAAAGGGGGAAGCACTTGACTATAAAGGCATCATGAAGTTGATTTTTTTAAATAAATTTCTTTTTTTTTTCTTAATGCACTGACTGTTACCCTTTTCTCTTAAATAGCACAACTCATGAGTTCCTTTTTGGGGCTTTGGCCGAATTAGTTGATAATGCAAGGTATGTAATGTTTGCATATTCTTTAGAAATTAATTTACATATTGTTTCTACTTGCCTTTTTCTATAGAGGTATGATATTTAATATGGAATTATTGCCCTGAATAACTATGAAAAATACAAATGTCTGCATGTTTTAAAACATTTACTTGTACAGTAATACCTCGGTTCATGAACGCTTCTATTCGCGAACAGAAAGTTTGGCAAAATTTTGCTTCCGTTCGTGAACTCCACATCGGGTGACGAACACGACCGTGGCCCGCTCTGACACGTGGTCGTGGCTTCCTCTAGTCGAGATCGCGGTCTGATCGCAGTTTGATTCAGTTCACGACCAATTCGGTACGCGACCAGAATTGTAGAACAAATTAAGTTCGTGAACCGAGGTACCACTGTACTTGATTCAATAATGTTTTCACACACCAATTAAATGGGATGTCGTGTGCATAGTTTTTGTTTTTTCTTGCTTAAAACCCCACAACAATGGGTCGTCTCATACGCCGGGTACATACGGAAGGATACGGTATACTGTATGTAGCTTCGGCTACATACAGTATACCGTGCTGAGCCAATCACGGCAGGCTTTGTATTAATGAATACAAAGCCTGTATTCCTTAATACAAAGCCTGCCGTGATTGGCCCGGCGCTGAGCCAATCACGGCAGGCTTTGTATTAATGAATATGAATATGAATTAATGAATGAACTCGTCTTATGCGACGAGTATAGCCCAAAACCTATATCTTAACACAAAAAGTAGGGGGTCGTCTTATACGCCGAGTCATCTTATACGCCGGCAAATACAATTTAATACCAAATTTATTTGGTAAAATATAAAAGATAAGGTTGATGCATTGAGTAAATATTAAATATGTCAATGTTTAAAATTGTGCACACCAATGAAATTGTGAAAAACTATGGTACCCAAAATTGTTCACAGGCAAATGTTACCATGATGATGCAAGATTTTATAGGCCCCAATCACCCAGTTATCTGCAGATTATGATCGCAGAGGCTACAAACACCCTCTCCAGCACATGCTTTATCTTCTTTTTGCCCATGGCCTTGGTGTCTACTGAGCCATTGGCTGCAGAGATTGTCTGTCTGCTTTTTGAGTTGCTTCAGTTCTTGACTGATGAGCTTACCCCAGAGGAGTGGCAGTCTACTGCTGTTCAGTGATGATCATCTGTCCCTAACCTCAGGTAATCTGCAGTGTCTGATTACATCCAAACAGTTTCAGCCACCATAAGCCTGTCATTGTTTTGTATAGGCTGAGCAATAGCAGCTATTTGCGAACACTTGTGATTCTGGCTACAGGAATCCGCAGATTCCTGCCAGCAGAATTTGGAATAGGCCCTAATCACAGATGTCAGTGGGGCCTAAAAACTTCTAAGGCTGCCAAGACTTCTTCTTTGCTCCCCCTTTTCCAATTGTTTCCATATGGCATGGGCTTGGTCAAATTAGTCTGGGAAAGTGGTATTACCCTTAAAACGAGAACTATGAGGTGAGTGCTTTTCACTCACCTCATAGTTTTATCCGACCTGTGACAATGAGACTGTCACAGGTCGGCTAAGTAGATCGGGAGGTGAGCGAACACATACCGGGTTCGCTCGCCTCTCGATCCTGTCACGGCTCCCTGCCGTGATAGGGGGAGGGGCTGGATTCTCCTCTCCCCGATCCGATCTGCCAGCGCTGACTGGCGGAACGGACGGGGGAGGGGGCGGGTACAGCTGGCTCTGCCTCTAGATAGGCAGAGCCAGCTGTCACTCACACAGCTGGGCAGATCCCGTCATCTAAGTCGGGATACGCTCCGGCGGCAGCGTCTCAGTATACCGCGAGCGGTAGCTCACGGTATACTGAGCTTAGGTTAACGGGAGGACGCTAGTTTGTGTCCTCCCGTTACCCTAAGGAGAACTATGGGGAAAAGCCCTGACCCCCATAGTTCTCCTGTAACTCCAAACTGATTGCCTGTACATGCATTGAAAGCTTTGCCTATTGACAGTTTGCGGTATCATATTTTTTTTCCCATTTCAAGGGCACACACAATTTTTAAACTGGGCATGCTGGGTATCCATTTACTCGGCACAACGTGATCTTTTATATTTTACAACAACATTGGGTATTATATTTAGTTTTTGGGTTTGATTAAAAACTTGCACTAATATCATGTGACATAAAAATTTGCAGCTGCTGTCATTTCTATAGGGTCTCTGTCTTCACGAAAAATAGAATTCTAGGAAGGGGTTTAAGTAATTTTCAGGCCTAAAATGTGGCTAATAACGTGTGCAAAAAATACGCAAAAATGGCTGTGTCAGCGAAAGGGTTAAGAGATCTTATTCCTGCTGTGGTTGGTTCCTCGATTATAGAATGTGTGGAGCAGATAGCTGTAGCTATTCATTTCAGCTATGAAAGCCCCCCATCTAATTTCTTGCATGTGTCTCATGTCGGTGCATATGCGTGGGGCACTTTGTGTAAAAAAAATGTTTGAGACGCATAACATTGGAGGAACCGTGTCCAGCTCTTGACAGCATCATTGAGGATGCCATTGTGGCTTGAGCAACCATCTTCCTCAGTAGAAGACGCCCAAGGAACACACTGCAGAGTGTTCTTCCTCTTGACTCCCTTTTCATTTCTCCACTCCAACAACCTCCACGTCCAGGCCTTTGCTGCCCATCCACTCTCAAGTCCCTCAAAGTCTGCCAAATCCTCGAACAAACCTTCCTCTGTATAAAGGTGCTCCCCCTTTCCAGAGTGTGGGGACATTTTGGAAAGTAGTATGATTTCCCTTTGGTAGAACCGTTCCAAGGATTTTACTCCAATTTGTTTACTGTTCCCAAGCCTAAAGGGGGCATTAACCTCATGATGTATCTCAAAACTGTGAATGTCTTCAATTTGTGTCCACAAATTCCAGCTAGAAATACTTAATGGACATACTTTGTGGACATAACCGATACTAACCTACCTCACAAAGATGTCCCCATCTTTCCAGTGCATCAGTAGTTCCTGCACTTTGCTGTGAAGCATCTGCACTACCAGTTCGCTACCCTGCCCTTCTACTTTTTAACCGCACTTCGGGTACTCACCAATGTATTGGCCCTGCTGCACTCTCGTGGCATCCCCTTTTGTTCAGGAAACAGTAGGCACATGTTCTGTTGAACAAAAAGCTGTTGACCTTCTAAACTTTACAGTGATTTGGATGGATCCTGAAACTTCAGAAATCGTTGCTGGACTCATCGTTCGGAGTAGCAGGGTCTCGTCCTGTGCACCGTTCACGCTAGAGTGTTCCATCCACAGGAGAAACTTCAGACACTCTGGTCTTCGGTTCGAATGCTCCAGTCCAGGATCCAGCTCTCTGTTTTTGTAGGAGTTCTAGGTCTCATGGTATCTTGATTAGAGGCTTTTTTTTTTGCCCGGCTCAACCCCATAACTCTGCAACACAACATTTTGTCATCGTGGGGCAAGTTGCCAATTCGTCCTCGGCTTGGTGGCTCTGGAATCCCACCCAGGACTTCCCTGACTCCATTCTTCCAATCTTTTGAACAATGTTGTCATTAGCGTTAGGGATGCACCAATACCATTTTTTTCCATACCGAGTACCGATACTTTTCCTCAAGTACTCACCAAAACCGATTACCGAAACCTTTGTGGTTCTTTTAGGGTTTTTTTTTTTTTGTCGTGATTTTTTTAAAACAATACAGACTAATGATTTTAGGACAGTGGTGAATTGCCAGCGCCCAGTGGCAGCTGCAACCCTGGTAGTTCTGCCACTGACTCCAAGATATAGAGGGACTACAAATCCCAGCAATACATTATATAGCAATGCAGAATACCCCCAACTATAGAGGACTACAAATTCCAGCAATACATTTATAAAGCAATGCAAAATAATATGAAGCTACATACTCTGTGTTCCGAGGTGGCGTCCCAATGTCTCCACGGTCTCTGGAGACATTGGACTGTGCAGGGTCTCGGGTGGGCTGTGTGGCATGTCCAGCAGGGCTGTTCGGGATCCACAGAAAGGAGGAGGAGTAGATGTGCGGCCGGAGCTATAAGCAGCGCCGCTAGGTCCCCAGAAGACTGCCATGAGGTCTCCAGCAAGCGCGGGACCTTATTGCAGCCGCTTGTGTTTAAAAAAATTTGTGTCGGTTTCGGCGCTTAGTATCAGGGCATTTTCACCAGTACTTGCCCAGTATGAAAATGCCCAGTATCGGCACTGATCCTGGTATCGGTGCATGCCTAATAAGCTCCTTTTTTAAACATTCTTAAATTCAACACACTTATGCTAGAAGTAGAATGCAGAGGGATGAATGCTTGGGTTCTTGCCACTTCTATGTCCTATCACAGGCCCAGGTCCTGGACCAGTCAATGTTGCAGAGAGGTCCATGCATGTGTTATTTGATACCTGGATAAGAACATTGGCTGACTGGAATTACTTTGGAATGTATGACTGCACACATATGTTTCTTTAGGCTTATTGCCTGTAGTTCTGTTACAAAAATACATTTATTTTTTTTCAGAAAATTGTAGTAATGCTGAGTCTCTTGCTCATCTATAAATTCAATTTTTTTTTTTCAGAGATGCTGATGCTACACGAATTGATATTTACACAGGTATTTTATGAGCATGTTTCTAATTCTTCTTTTTTTTTTTTGCTAACCATCTTCATTGTTTTCATTTTATATAGGTTTCTCCATATATATATATAGAAAATATTAGACAGGTGTTCTTTAGGCCACTAATCTAGAAATCATCTACAGTAAAACAGTGGGCCTGATTTTAGTAACATATTCTGTATGTTTGTATGATTGAGCAAATTTGCTTGTGTAGATAAGGAGAGACCTATGCTCATTCAGTTTATCCTCTGTACACTGGTTACAAGGACAGTTTGCTATATATTGATTGCTCCATTGTCCATATGTATTCCATACAATCTTTGCTGTGCCAAAAATGATTTCCTCTATCGTTTTTGGGTCCAATTAAACACTATTACCATTTTTAGATGTGCATACCATATTGGCATAAAACCGCATCAGGTGTGCTTGGCTATTTTTTAAGAAGACTGTAAAAACCATTACCTTTTTAAAGCCTCTGTAAATTGTATGCATGAGGTATTGTACTGAGCATGCACAAATATTTGTGCCCATTCCCAGAAGTTTTAGCACAAGTTAGCTTACAAGATTCCATATGCTGGTGCTTGTAATACAAATTCAAAGGTACATGTTCGATAGCATACAGGGCTTTATTCAGGTCTCGTGTGCCTTTTAGCTTAGTGTACATGCACTTCATTTCTTAGCAAATCAGTCATATTTTTATTTAGCATGTGCATTTTGTAATTCATAATATTTTAATGTTCAGTGCACATGGCAAACCAGGACCACATGTACACCTTTTAACATCAGTTTATGATCAGCTACACTACAAGTTCTTGGATCACATTCCCACATGTGACTGAATGTTTATGCTTATCCCTGCTCTTATATATTGTATTTGGTAAATTAGCCTGGCTGTTTTTTTTTTTTTTAGTGACGAGCATGTCCTTTTCCTACATATTATGTTTAAAATACATTTTATTTTTTTAGTTTTCTTGTTGGGTTTAAAGTATTTTTCCACTTTTGCTGTCAAATTTGGGAAAACCCCTGTTATGTGTGCATAGTCACAAAGCATACATACATTTTTTTAAACCTTTTTTAGATGTGTCCATGTAGCAGGCCTTTGCAAGCTTCTCTCTGAATTTCCAAGTGACAGGAAACTCATTTGTGCCATAAAAAGACTTATTATTATTATTATACAGGATTTATATAGTGCCAACAGTTTGGGCAGCGGTTTACAATATAAGGTAGACATTACAATCCCAATACAATTCAAGACAAGATGGTAAGGAGGGCCCTGCCCCTGAGGGCTTACAATCTAAAAGGGAGGGGCAAATGATACATGAGGAGGTAGGTGTGTGGGGACGAATTGAGAATGTGATGGTTGAGGTAGAACAGGCTTCCCTGAAGAGAGGAGTCAGAGTGGGAGATAGACAGGTTGGGGTAAAGAGTTCCATAGGATTGGCGAGACTCTAGAGAAGTCCTGGAGGCGAGCATGGGAGGTGTTGACGAGGGAGCTGGAAAGCAGGAGGTCTTTAGAAGAGCAGAGGGGACGGTTAGGGTGATGCTTTGAGACAAGGTTTGAGATATAGCCGGGGGTTGAGTCATGGATGGTTTTGTAAGTCGTTGTTAATATTTTGAATTTGATCCTTTGGGCAATTGGAAGCCAGTGCAGGGATTGGCAGTGGGGGGTTGCAGACACTGAGCGGTTGGTTAGGTGGATGAGCCTGGCAGCAGCATTCATAATAGATTGAGGGGGGGATAGCCTGTGTAGTGGTTGGCCAATGAGGAGGGAGTTTCAATAGTCAAGACGGGAGATGAGAACAAGTGAGTGGATGAGTAATTTAGCGGTTTTATTGGTGAGGAAGGGGCGTATTTTGGAGATGTTGCGAAGGTGGAGGCAATGGGATTTGTATAGTGATTGGATGTGGGGAAGAAAGGTGAGGTCCGAGTCAAGGATGACACCTAGCACCTTGGCATGGGAGGAGGGTTGGATAGTTGTGTTATCAATCTCAAGGGAAAAGTTGGGGGAAGATGCACGGGCAAGAGGAAATATCATGAGCTCAGTTTTTTAAAGGTTGAGTTTTAAGAACTGTTGCGACATCCAGACGGACATGTCAGTTAGTAGGTCAGTGACACACAAGGACACTGAGCGGGTGAGATGTGGAGTAGAAAGATTGATTTGAGTGTCATAGGCATAGAGATGGTATTGGAAGCCATGTGAGGTTATTAACTGACCAAGGGAGGTGTAGATAGAGAAATGGGTCCAAGGACAGAGCCTTGGGGGACCCCTACAGAAAGAGGAAGGGGAGGAGTTAGAGTTGTAGGTGACACTAAAGTAGTGCTTGGATAGGTAGGAGGAGACCCATGAGAAAGCAGAGTCTTGTAGGCCAAGCGAGTGGAGTTTTTGGGAGTAAGGAGATTGATCTGAGATTGTTGAGGTTGGTAGTGAGGATTTTGGGGGTATTGGGGTGACCAGCACATGCTTTTCAGGGGAAGGAAAGATGCCAGTAGAGAGTGAGAGATTGAAAATGTCAAAAAGGGAGTGTAGGATAGAGTAAGAGGGCGACAGAAGAAGTGGTGAGGGGGAATAGGGTCCAGGGGCAAGTGGTGAGGTGGGTGTCAGAGAAAAGCTTTGTAACCTCCTCTGTGGTGACCGGGTCAAACAAGGAAAGTAACAAGTGTGATGGTGGGTCTGGTACATGAATAGGGGAAGGTGACTGCACAGTGGCGATCTGATCCCGAATTGTATCTATTTTGTTTTTGAAATGAATGGCAATGTCCTGGGCTGTGGCGGTGGAGGACATATTAGAGAGTTAAAAGTAGAAAAGAGTTGACGAGGTTTGGATGAGAGTGTGTTAATGAGAGTGACAAAATAAGTCTGTTTGGCAGCACGGAGGAAGGAGTTATATTTTAGGAGGGCAGCTTTATACAGCATGAAGTCTTGCAGAAGCCTAGTTTTCCGCCACAGTTGTTCAAGAGCGCCGCTATGTCTTTTTAGATGTCTGGTTTCTATAGTTTGCCATGGTTGTAGTTGACTTGGTCAAAGTCTGCGTGTAGTGAGGGGAGCCAAGGTGTCTAGGGAGGATGGGAGCGAGCTGTTGTAGACAGAAGTAGTCTAGTTGAAAAACTGACAATCTGTTCAATAAAATGAACAATTGATTATCCTAAAAGGATTTTGGTGTGCTGGTGACATTCTTCTCTACCAAACATATGTGAGTTCAAACACTCGCAATTGCTTTGATAAATTCCCCCCAGTATGTGTTATCCCAATTTGGCTGCAAAAGTGAAAAACACTTAAAAATTTTCTAATGAGATTATTGCTATTGAGAAAACGTAAGATAGCATTTATTTGTGTATTCAAGCCTTATATTGAACTTTTAGGGATTGTTCACACCATAACAAATTTATGTGTTGCTTTGTGGTGTGTTTTATATGTGTTGATTTTGTTTAATGGCCCTATTGTAGTTGACCTAAGTAATAAAATGCAGATCAATGCGCCAAAATCTGACATTAGACCATACTGGTCAAAAGTACTTTTTATGGCATATTTAACAAACCAGAGGGGATAAAATAAGGGAAGTTCATTATTGGGGGTTTACATACACTTTACCCTTCATATCACACACCATGGCAAAAGTGGGAATAACAACAAAACACAAAGTGGTCACCCTGCATCAGAAAGGCTTTTGCACTCCACAGGATCCTGTATCTCCTCCAGGCTCTTCCTATTAAACTACCACCGACCTTTTTCAGCCGCCTCCGGAGGATGTTTTTAACTTTAGTTTGGGCGGGTCATCGGGAGGGGGGAGTGGGGCTGTACGACAGTATTACAGGGCTGCACAACTTAATCGGCTGGTGCTGCCACCACTTACACAAGCAATTGGTGTCAATAGAGCTGAACTTGTGTCCCATTCCATTTTTGGGTTTAACGTATCTCTCTTCCCCGTTGCCACTCTTCTTTCGGTCACACTGCACTATCGTCCCGACAATTCAAACAAACAAAACAACGCAACAGCGAGAGGTCCGCCCTGTATTTCACCCACGGATCCTCCATAGCAAACATATACCAAGGACATGGATATAAAGTTTTTTTGTCCAGATGCTATAGGGGTGCCATCAGTCCTACACACAAACAATTGACAGAAAAAGAC